TGGAGTGGACGGATGCCACAGTCGCGACGGCAGTCCTTGACAGAACCATTGTAACGTACGCACGACGGATGATCGACGGAGCTCAATTGGATGGCTCCGATTGTTACCCTGATGATGGCGACGAGTCTGGGGCGGTTTAGGATTTGGGTTTGAAGCCAAAAACATTATCGTAATTGGTTCACCTAGGATGGTTAGAACATCATGTGCTGATAACGTGTTAAAGTAATATTTAGAATAGAGAATAGAGACATGAGGGAGAAAGGAGGATAGTCTTTTCATTCATCTGCTCTATAATACATGAAATACACTTCCATATATAACTAATACAAAAGGACATAAATAAACATAATGAGCCATAAAATCATCCGTTATGTCCGTTACAAATAAATGTCCATTGAATATATTTATAACACAAAGTACTATCTTTTGCACCTAAAATGATTTTTAAAATTATCAAAGTACTCTACATCAAAATTATCGAAGTACTCTCTTTTTGACTCAAATGACTCAGAATTATAGACATTTAGTAGATATAAAAATAAAAATAATTTTAATATATATATATATATATATATATATATATATATATATATATATATGTATGTATATATGTATGTATGTATGTGTATCTATATATATATATATATATATATATATATATATATATATAATCAATTTGACTTCATAAATATCTGCAATATGTTAATTGAAGTGGAGCATATGCATAATAATATTGTACACGCGATAACCCACAATCACTATTCAAATTTAGGTTTTGATTGAAATATGTATTGTGACTCTAGTTGACAAACAATTATAATATAAACGAGTTTAGGTTATCCATAGTTAACTAGCGCAAATAAAAAACGTCAATACATAGTTTCTATATATGGTCAAACTTAAAACTTTGTACTTACCAAACTAACTACTCGACCAACTCAGTTAAGGTTGCCTAACATTTTGCCCAATATATGATAGTTACCTTTAGATGTTGTAATTGTGAGACAAATATCTGATAAGGAATATACCCTCGAGCGTATAATTGTATATATGCCCGACTTCTATTCCGCGTGTGCATAATAGGGGACACTTCCCGGTCACGCCCGACACCATCAGTGTTCGACCCATCCCGAGTTGAGGCACAAATTTGTTCCTCCAAGATTATTAGTTGTTACGTAGCATACCTTAAGCTTGGGTGAAAATCTCGAGCTCAACGTCCAAACAAATTGTCCCGATCGTAAAACCTTATACACTTACGGGGTGTTTGGTTGGGAGGAAGGGATTAGGTAGGAAAAGAATTGTAATTCGGTGGGAAAAGAATAAGGTAGAAATTCAAATTACGTTGTTTGGTAGTGAAGAATAGAATTATTGGGTATGAAAGGGAAAAATTGGTATAAAGACTAAAATGTCCTTGTGTAATAATAATAATAACAATCAACAAGGGTATTTTTGTCATTTTTACCCCTTTTTCCTTCCCCAAAAGCATTGAATTGCAATTCATGGGGTTACCCCATGAATTGCAATTCAACAAAATGAGGGAATTGCAATTCCATGGAATTGCAATTCCCTCCAACCAAACACTGTAATTGAAACCTTCATTGAATTGCAATTCAATTACATCCAACCAAACACCCCTTAGTGGATAAACATAGCCAATGTCACTATATCCGATCAATTAGTGGATAAACACTTTGTGGCCGCTCGGGAAGTTGAGGGATGAAGATTGCCAGTAGTTTAGCAAGAAGTTACTTGAGTGGAAGGAGCTGACCCCTAAGGATCGGAAACAACATACAAGAGCCTTTGATCCCCCAGTGACTCGACGGCGATGAAGCGCGAACCTCTATAAACTTCTTGACTTTGCGAATGATTGATGTGATACCCAAAAATTTCATAATAAAATTATTTTTCCTACAAAGACTTTAAAAATTTTCATTTCTTTAATAGTAATGGCTTATTATAAATTTTAAAACACATTTTAAATAAAAATATTTATAGTGATATTTATGGTTTATTTAAACCATTAACGCACTAGTACAAAATCAGTCATTCGCATCCAAAGTTAAGGCTAAAAGGCATCCAAAGTTGCTTGGACGCGGATGTAGGAGATGCTAATTGTATATACAATTAGCGTCCAAAGTAACTTTGGACGCAAAAAATGATAATTCGCGTCCAAAGTTAAAGAACTTTGGACGCGTATAGTATATTTTATTAAAAAAATAAACACTATTTTTTAAAAAAAAAATAGTGTTTGTATTTTTTTAAAAAAATACTATACCCGTACAAAGTTCATGAACTTTGTATGCGTATTATATATATAGTTTTTTATATTTAAGATAAAAAACTGAAATCAGCACTAATACATAATATGACAAAAATAAATTGTCATCTTTTGCGGCATTGAACTTATAGGCGCATAATATATTTAAATCTAAAAAGATAATCTAAACATACTTGGAAAAATCTTAAGATCCACTTCTGAACCAGAATATTTATGGTTTTCCATTGACAGTTTCAAACAAAAGTAACAATCTTACAGGTTATGATTTACAACTGCTGCAGGCATGCATTTATTCAAAACTCAAATTCTCAAGTTAACAATTTGATATAATGACAATAGTAACCAATAATACACAGTATGATATAATTAACCAAGTCATGAAAAGAATGAACTACAATTTGAGCATGAAAAGATTGGAAGGGCAATATATTGAAGCCTACATAAAAGAATGCAAAAGAAATGGGAAATGAAGCAGTACTTGGTATTCTTGGTTATGGACATAAAAAGATCAGTTAATGCTACAAGATCATGTCACTTCACCTCCTTTGCAAACTCTGTTGGAAGAATGTCCACAGCTGAACATATTATACCATTGCCCTCCATGTCATGATGATATGTATTATTAAAGGGATCATATCTGGGATCAATTTTCAAGAAATAATTGTCACCATCAAAAAATGAAGTAAATAAATGCAATTCTAACTAAATAGGGTGACTTGAATAAACTAGGAAACTACCAAACATCTGTAAAGGAAAATAGGAAATAGAACCAAATTCAAAATAATAATCAATCAGAGATATTGGGAAATTTGTCCACATCATAGTGCTAGAAAATAATATGCAAGCCCACTGTTGAAAGCATTCTAAAAGAAAATACCTCTACCAAAATCCGGCAATTTATATCCTACATCACGGCGCGCGTTGCACTGTGCGCCCAAATGCAAAACGCCGTCATTTTAATTTATTATTATTTTTTTTGAAATTTTCCGCCCCGTGAAAGGCAGTTATTTTTTCTTTAACCACCTTAATTTGATATCCAAGATGTTGTTTAACCACCTTAATTTGATAAAAAAAAAAAAATTAATAAAAGAGCTAAATGAGACTTTGAAGTAACAATCATTAGTGAACCAGAAATAAATAAGAAAAGAAGTCAACATACAATCAACATCAAAGTATCAAACATTCAAAATGTTATGAGAAACACACATCTGCTGAAATATCCTTATCAAACTGTCTGAGTGCATGTTGCTGAAATCTCATAAATAGAGCTTGTACTCACCAACATGCATCCACTTAGTAGAAGACCACTTGTTTCCTCTTATTACAGGGCAACCACCTAGAATAAATAGACCAAAATGAGGTTTGGCTAAATTTATTGAGTATTCACATTCATCCTTGGACTGTTAAAACATGAAGGGCATGCAAAATTAATCATCCCTTACTCTGTGTTTTTAGTAAGGACATGAAACAATGGCAAACATGAATCAGGCAGAATGAAACTCGATGGTGCAAGATACGTTTTAAGCTTAAGCTCTACAAACCTGGCGAGGAAGAAATCTTACAATGTTTTCAATAATTTAAGAGCATTGAGCATGTAACCCCGTGTTCGATGCAGTCCCAATCCAGAAATTTCACTAATCCAAGAAAAATACCTAACATTTCACGAATGCAGCAAAAAATGATTGGAGATTAGAGAAACTCAGTTTTCGTAGCATAATTCACTCACATCGAGACTCCTTTCCACGACTCGCTGCAAGGATCTCCACCGTTAGCCTTCCAGCCAGTCAGCTGTGAAGGACTGTTTAGTGAAGTATATATAACCTTTAGCCTAAGTATATATAACCTTTAGCCTTCCAGCCAGTCAACTGTGAAGGACTGTTTAGTGAAGTATATATAACCTCCAGTGCTTGCACTGCAAAACAGAATAAATTTTACTTCACACAACATTAAGAGCAAATTACACTTTTGGTCCTGTGACTATAAGGGGTGTGTTAATTTGGATACGTGACTTTTAAAATTAACAATTTAGTCCTTTAATTATCATTTTTTTAGCAGATTTAGTCCTCCGGCCAAATTGCCGGTGGAATTTGGACGGAAAGACGTTCGACTTTTTTAAATCAAATATTGGTGGGGGTAATTCGGTCTTTTTAATTGTTAAAAAATAGCTGCAAATTATATTTACTATCCGGTGATATGCGAAGAACAAACCTAATTTCAAATTTGTGATGATGAATACCAACACAGTTTTTGCAATGTTCTTGTTTACACAGTTTTTGGAAACCTTTCCCCAATTCTGAATTAAAAATCGGAGGTATGTCTTTTGATTGAATTAAAAATCGAGGACTAAAAGGAGTACTATCCCAATAGTCAGAGGACCATTTGTGACAGTAACTATATATACACACGTGAGGAAAGAAGACAAAAGAATTGAATGAATTAAATTGATTAATGATGAGGAATATAATGATTTACAAAGCCAAAAAGCTAATCTATTTATACACGTACAGAAAGAAGAGAGAAATGCGGCATGAATATGAGAACATGTATGGACATGCATGCTACGTGGGAGGCAGCTGAGATACGTGCGTGATTGAGTGGAAGACGCCAATGCAACATGGTGAAATGGTCTTCATGGATTTTGAGCCACATCTCCACGTTCGTTGTAGATGATATAAAAGTCATTGCAGAGTCTATTAATGAATTGCAATTGCAATTTTATTTTGTTAAACGGTCAGCGAACTAGGTTGCCCACCTTCTACCTAGGGAGCCTGGTTCTTTGTCTGATCGTATTGTTTGGAGTGATGTTCCTCCTTTGTTTATTGTAATTGTTCTGGCTTCTGATAATGAAATATAGTTAGTGTCCGTTTTCCAAAAAAAAAAAAAAAAAAAGTCTCCACGCTCATAATCGCAAATTTAAATTCCTGTGTCCTTTTCCCCCCAAAATTCCCCACAATCACTAACTGCTATAGCAACGATGTCGTCTTTGGAGAAGAAGGTGACGGTGAGCAGTTCCGATGGAGAGGTGTTTGAGCTGTCGCTGACTGTGGCTCAGCAGTCGCAAACTTTAAACCGCATGATCGAAGACGATTATTGCGCCAATAAGGACTGCATTCCCCTTCCGAAAATTACCGGAAAGATCCTCGCAATGGTGGTTGAGTACTGTAAGAAGCACGCATTGACTTCCAGTTTGAGGGAGCTCAAGGCCTTCGATGACGAGTTTATAAAAGTCGATATGGACACTCTGTGCGACCTCATACTGGTAATTTTATGATTCTGATCTGAAGCTTTAAAATAATTTATATATGTTCCCCAAGTTTGTTTAATTTGTTGTGATTACATTATTTGTATTTGCGTTGCATATCGATGATTATGGTTGTTATTTGATCTTTTAGGCTGCGGATTACCTGTGTATTAAGGGCCTTGCGGTTCTGACTTCCCTTTCCATGTCGAGCTCCATCATAAATAAAACTCTACCTGAGCTTTGCCAGACATTTAACATCGATAACTTGACCCCCGAGGAGTTTGAGCAGATCCGTCGGGAGAACCATTGAGCTTTTGAGTGATATGCTATAACAATCCCCATTTATGACTGATTCTGAGTGATGCTGCAGATGCTGGATACCTGGTTTTAACCATTTGTTTGAATCACTGAATGCTATATTTCATGATGCTACTGTGCTTTTGTTCTTTCATATTTTGGACCTTTTGGTGATCTCTAATGACTAGCTATGGAAAATATTGCAAATTATGCTTAGGAATGGTAAGGTGGACACGGTTCCAAAACGGTTCATAATTGTGAATATAGAGTAGTTCTATAATTATGAACATAGAGTTATGATTGAGTTCTATAACCACGGTAGAAAAATGTTGAAAAAACTAATTAATTGTGCAATAAACTTGATTAAAAAGATATTAATTAACAATAATTAAACTACTACTTTTTATACCGAGAAGAACAGGTTGAACAAAAACTTGATCTCTCTTAGGTGAAAGCCAGACATCCTAACCACTGGACAAATTGATGTTGTGTGGATCACTTGATTCCTTTACATCTCATTTATGTAAAAAGTTCTCAAACGCCCTCAAAAAGTACTTGTCATATCCAAAACTTGGAGGAAGAAATGTGAGTTGAATGAGATGAAATACAAAGATGTCATTTTAAAAAAAAATAATATTAAAAGATTTGATATCTACAAGTGAAGGGGGGTTATATTAAATTGAAGCATGTGTTCCATCTCAACTAAAAGGATAAGTTGATAGTTGAATTGCATATTAATGATTATATACTCAACACAATGATCCATTGCATATTCCTTTAAGTTTCACAACATCTACTTCATCTGTTTAAAATAAAATATTATTTCAGATATTCAATGAGATAACGAATCTATACTATCTATCTATATATAATTAAAAGTAAAATTCTCCTTTTACTATTTTAGATTTGACCTAGGTTGGTCCAAAACTCTATAACGTGATATATCATTTACAATTTTCGAACCCAACGTTGCAATTGCATTAGCAATAATATGCTTATAACTATCCTAAACTACTAGGTTATAGCATTAACTTTTAAACGTTTACGAAATAAATAATAGTGAACCATCTTTAGAGGTAAGTTTAATTTAATAGCTTAGTATATTAGTATATTTGAAATCGACTTCTAGAAAAGCCAAATTTGAATGAAGTCCAATTTGAGAAGCTAATGCATGGTTTAATTATATATAACTGAGTCACTCAACAAATCCTGGTTAGTTTTAAATTGTTGAATATATATATAGTGGAGTATTATTTATATGTAATTAAGTAACTTAAAAGTAAATGTTGATGGCGACGTCATACAAAAAGCCACTATGTAATGCAAACTTTACTTATATTAGTACTATGCTAGTTTTTCTTCAACCTAATGCAAAAATGCAAATAACAAACATCACAAATCACAATTACTTTAAGAAATAAGGGTCACATAGGTCACTCAAATGCACACCAAATTATGGATCTTTGAACAATACAAACTCATACAATTCAATTCAAAATGTGGTGGTCACTAATTTTAAAAATATTGTTTTAAACAAATTTGTAAATAATATAATTAATTAAAACTTAAAAAAAAAAAAAAAAAAAAAAAAAACAAGAATTTTCGCAGACGAAGTCTCCGACCGATTTGTGGTATATATTAGATTTGATACGAATAAAAGCTTAACATGAAACTATTTAGAGGTATTTTTTTTTAATTCTTTAGACTAGATGAATGACGATGAAGACAGTGTAAGATAAACAACCATGGTGAAAGAATAAGAAAATGGAAACATGGATTATCACTGATATGAGTTCTTTTAGTAAGAAGCTTCGCAATAATGGGTTCAGTTGGTAGAGTTACGGATTTGCAGATTTTATATGATGTATATATTGTTGGGAAAATACATTCAAAGTTGAAGGACTTTTTCCTTGTCCTAATTTCATGGGTGCTCATGGTTGTTATCTACACAATTAGTGTGAATGTGGAATGAGGAAACAAAGTCAAGGTCTAAGGTTTTCTACTTTTATATGAATGCATGGAGAAATTGAATTATGTTTCTTACGTAGCCATGACACTAAATTCTTCCCAACAAAGAAGCATCTATCAGATGTACTTTTTCTGTCGTCAATGTTTCATGCTCAATCAGCATCACAGTAAGCAAATTTAATTAATAACTATTCATAATGCACTCAAAAAAGGAAGTTTCCTCCCTTTCCATGTCGAGGTTGATCATAGATAAAACTCTACCCGAGCTTTGCGAGACATTTAACATCTATGACTTGACCCCCGAGGACTTAGAGCAGATCCGTCGGGAGAACCATTGAGCTTTTGAATGATATGCTATAACTCTCTCCATTTATGGCTGATTATATTGCTGCAGATACTGGATACCTGGTTTTAATCATTTGTTTGATTCACTGAATGCTATATTTCATGATGTTACTGTGCTTTTGTTCTTTCATATTTTGGACCTTTTGGTGATCTCTAATAACTTTCTATGGAAAATATAGTGGTTATAGCCATATGAAGATTATATTAGGAGACTTACTGCAGGCCACCCGGCGGCCTTGTTATAGGTTTTGTTTTACCAAATGAAGCACTTGCCACTGGAATTTTAGATCATAGGGGACACTTCCTGGTTACACCCGACACCCTCATGGTTTGACCCAACCCGAATTGAGGCGCAAGTTTGTTCTTCCAAAATTATTAATTGTTATGTAGCATATTCTAAACTGGGCGAAAATTTCGAGCTCAACATCCTGACAAATTGTCCCAATCGTAAAGTCTTATACATTTATGGCCCGTTTGGTTCACGGAATCAATTTGGGGGAAAATGAATGCTATTCCATAAAGAATGAAATAGATAAGGAATAGAATAGAAATTGTATTCTATTGTTTGGTTCGCTAAAGGAATAGACATTGGGAACTATATTCCAAGGTTGGTTAAAGAATAGGAATAGAATATATGTTTAAAAGACATAAATGCCCTTGTATAAAAAATATTATTATTATTATTATTATTACTAGTATTTTTCCCGTGCGATGCACGGAAAATATGTTATAAAAATATACTCTATATGAGGTTTATTCATATATAAAAATTTTGTTATTTAATAATTATTATGTGTGAATTTCTATGATAAAATTATGAACATAAATATATTTACAATTAAAATAATATTTAAGGTGGTGATTACTACAAATCTTAAACTATATTAAAAATTTAGTACATAGTATTTAATATTACAAATTTTTAAGAACTTAGTAAAGTACAATAGTAATTGAATTACAATTTTAGAGTCACCACGGATCAAATTTTTTAAACCTTTGAGATTTCTAACTCTAGATGTAGCAACATACAATTGACCTTTAAAGACCAAAATCACAATCTTAGTTCGAACATTGATTTTTTCTTCCAAATACTATTGAATTAAGTGTGTAATCAATAAAAGATGACAACTAATAATTCGAGAATATAATCTTAATGTTACTAAGCCTACTTCACGTCAATTAAGTTGGAGAGTGTTGTTGGATAATATCCGATGAATCCACGAATAACGCATCTTTGTCTCCGTAGTCCTCAATATGCACATCAACAATCTTAAATATTAGGCCGCCTAGCTATGTCATATATTAATTTCAAACTTATGAACTTTGGGGTTGCATGCAATAAAAAGTATATTTTTAAATATACTAAGGGTACATTATATATGTATGTAAGATACTTTCAATATAAAAATAATGTATTTTTAATATATTAAAAATGTATTTAATATTCATGATCCATACAATTATGTGGACCATCGTTCACACAATAATTTGCCAGTAGAAATTGAAATATAAATAAATAAATAAATAAATAAATATATATATATATATATATATATATATATATATATATATATATATATATATATATATTAGAAACTGTCAGTGGAAATTATTATCATTATTTTTGTTGCAATTATTATTATTATTATTATTATTATTATTATTATTATTATTATTATTATTATTATAATTAACAATATTATTATGGTCTTGTGAAAATTAATTGTTGATTATCACCATTTAATTTTTACAAGACCATATGGCTTTATTATATATAGGATTATTATTATTATTATTATTATTATTATTATTATTATTATTATTATTATTATGTGTGTGTGTGTGTGATGGATATATTGGAAATGATCCAATAATAATAGAGACCCGGGTCCGGAAATGTATAACCCGAGCAGCCCAAGAAGAGTCTCAAGCCCGGAGCTTAACTCCGGGCCTAGAATGATGGGTCTTGACTTAGTCTCACGGCCCATCACATGCACGTTCAAGCTTCTGAAACATATCCATATCACGATCATATTGAAGATCATCTGACAAATTCTTACCAACCTATGACATTGTATTGCTCATTAGCTTTGCAGCATTAAGCATATTCTTAGCACATATCTCAATAGTTTCATCATGACTTCTCTTTCTCTTACTTAAATTGCTTCTTTTTCTACTATCATTTTGTGGCTCAGGTTGTGTACTCGTTAAATCAATATCATCCAAACCAACAAATGCACTATCTTCCGTGTCAGCTCTTATATCATTCTGTTCTTCAGCTTGTATTTCTTCAACTACATCATCTGTTGTCTGTGCATCTTTTCCAGTTGCACGATCTATAGAATATATTGCAAATAACTTATTATTGCACGAAGCGGTCTGAAATTAAAAAAAAAAAAAAAAAAAAAAAAAAAAAAAAAAGTTGAAGATAACAGTGCCATTAACAGCACTGTTACCCGTGTCCAGCATGCATGCTGGACACGGATCCATAGCATAACGATTGATTCTCAGCCTATTCCGTGAACCAAACGGGGCATTAGTGGATAAACATAGCAATGTGGCCACTAATCGGGAAGTTGAGGGGCCAAGATCGGCAGTAGTTTTGCAAGAAGTTACTTGAGTGGAAGCCGCCCCCTAAGGATCAAAACCAACATACAGCCCGAACCTCTATAAATTTCTTGACTTTTGCGAATGGTTGATGTCATACCCAAATTTTCAAAATAAAATTATTTTTATTTCTTTAATAGTAATGCCTTATTATAAATTTTAAAACATATATATATATATATATATATATATATATATATCTAAAAACATAATAAGTATGAATGAATGTTATATCCTTCATTTATGTCCATTTTTT